CTAACATACAATTCAACATTATCAATATCATAAAATAAAATTCAACGATCTAAAGAAGAACGTTCGTGATGCCTGTATGTCGTATTGGTTTATCAATCTTTTACCATACATCGGTTTATCACTTTTTCACTACAAATTGGTTTATCAGTCTTTTATCATTAATCGGTTTATCATTCACTACAAATTGGTTTATCAATCATTTACCATTCATCGGTTGATCACTTTTTCAAAACAAATATGTTTTTTCAGTCTTTTACCATTCATCGGTTTATCACCTTTTCACTAAAATCGGTTTATCAATCTTGTACCATTCATTGGGTTATCACTTTTTTCAATACAAATCGGTCTATAAATCATTACCTAGAAATCGTTTAATGATGTGAATGAGATGGTTGATAAGGATGCATTTAGTTTACACAATAAATATTATCTCTTTACAAAAGTTTAGAGAAACAGGGAGCTACACTATAGTCTCTCGAAGACGGACGGATGCCAACCAACCAGAGAATTTATTTTTTTTTCGCAAAGATACTTTTCTCACTTATGTTAACTGTAGTTTTTCTAAACCAAGCATGTGTAAATTGTTTTACTGGCTGCCTCCTGATACAAACTAATGTCTTTTTTCTCTCTCCCAACAATGATTATATTCACCACATGAAATACATGTATTAAATAACAAATCCAAAGTAAAAAGAAGACATGAGATCTGATATTTAAAGGTCGCAGGCCAGCGTATCTACTCTTTGACGATAGTGTTTTTTTCCTCTCAGGCTGGCTTTACAAATATATTCTTCAAGCTTCTATAATTTTTCATCAGAAAATAAAATTGGTATCGATAACCTTTACTGTTCTTTATCAACATTAGTTAAAAAGTTAAGTTGAAATGGCTTATCTATAATCAGACAGCTCTTCTTTCAGTTTCCAATTTATCAACGACATCAAAATTAAATTCATACTTTTCTGACAAATGTATTGCAAAGTTGATAAGAGTCGACCCATAACAAGTTGATATTGTGTCCCTATCTGAATTGATGGATCGTTTCCATTAATACCGACAACCGTTTGTTGCTTCACTTTCGATAATTTGGCTCCAAACATGAAATAGGAAACCTTTCTAACCTCGGAAACAAAGAAGTAGACACATCTGTAGCGTGTTAGATGTCAAATTGATTAACTGATCATTAAAAGTAGATCACATTCGCTACTTTTTTAATACAAGCTAGAGTATGTACCATTTTATTAATTATTACCAAAAAATGGTCAGTCTATGTCATCGGCATATAGAAAACCCTTCACTAGAAATATATATATGCCTAGCTTAAATGATTAATTTAGTTTGTTCCAATTTATTAACCGATTCAGGACGTTCTCTCACGACCGAAGAAATGGCTCTCTTGTTCAAGATCACCTGCTGACCAGTAAACAACGAACACTGAATTTCTATCAGTACCCTTACATGCTGAGAATATTTCTCTTTGTCTCTCCTGGGCGCTATATGACTAAAACTACATTATCTTGTTACTCTAGTAGATATCTGAAGCTGATGTGCTTTTTAGTCGGCAGGAAATGGGTAATGACGACACGAAGGCGTGTTTAACGGAGAAGACGAGAGTTGGTCTCGTTTATATTAGAATTTTACATTTCCAATGGTAATGTAATACTATATTTCCTGCAGCTCATGCAACGGCCATATTAGAAGGAATGTATTTCAAGTTGTATAGTGTTATTTGATATACAGTTAGCTTGTGTCGGTGCTCTATTAAATAGTTATCAAAGCACATGAAGCAGATCTCAAACAGTTAAATAAGATGCGATACGCTTTGAGTCATATTCAACACTTGGGATATTATACTTAGGTGCGTGTTTTGCGACATTATCTGTCTTTATAAAACCATGATGCGCTATTAATTATATTTCAACCCTAGTCACTTATTTCATAAAGTTTTTCTCACCGATTTATGAATGAAATCATTTATCTCAGTACAGAAGAGGTATCAAGCATAAATATTTATGAATGACTTAATAGCTTTTCTTGTAACATCATTCAGTGACTTGCTGTGTCCAAAAGGCATCATGTATCAATTCATTAAACAGCTGAACTAACCAAAACCATTTTTACTGTTTCTATAGACACGGCTGTTCCATCTTGAAAGTCAAATTATTAATAACTCCAGGCAACAATTTCATGTTTGGGCGTATGTTTGTTATAGGAAATGCCGCGTCCTGTAACATACTAATATACTGTATAAAATTAGGATATATTTCTTTTTTTAAGGACTCGTTTTCTTAAAATAAATTGGAAAAATGTTTTGCTTTGTTTTCCAAAATCATTACAATACATAATAAAACGTTTAAGAATCATCGAGAAGATCAATGTCCGGAAATATTCCAAAATATCGTTTAAAGTGAACTTATTGTCATTGTTTCAATTTCATTTACAATCCAAGTTTTAAAACACAAATTTTGGGATAAAAATTAATAACTATCAGCTTTGAAGCGAAAATTCTACTCGTCATAATCTTAATAGCAACGATGCAATTTTAATACCCAAAGTTTTTCTAATACCCACAGTTTTCCTACTCGTTATAACCTTAAGACCCAAAATCTGTATACGTGTTCTAATCTTAACACCCAAAGTATTCCTTTTAAACATGACAATGAAGGTCTGCACGAGATTATGGCACAATGCCATAATAATAAGAAACTGCCATCATAATCAAAGAAAGAGAACTAGTTGCGTAAATGTGTAAGTCTTCAGTTCATTCCACATTGACCGACCAGTTTATTATCATACAATTGGTTTTATGTTGCACAGTAACCCAATTTAGTGCTGAGGCAACTGGAGCTAAGTGCCTTGCTGTCACCAGTCTGACACATAAAGCATCGTTTATGTTGCACACTAACCAACTTTAGGGCTGAGGCAACTGTAGCTAAGTGCCTTGCAGTTACTAGTCTGATACACAAAGCATCGTTTATGTTGCACAGTAACCCAATTTAGTGCTGAGGCAACTGGAGCTAAGTGCTTTGCTGTCACGAGTCTGACAAATAAAGCATCGAGCCATCATGGTTCTTGGAATGCAAACTTAAATTTATGGCTGTTCTGAGAGCGTCATGGTAGAAATTGAATTCTTGTGACAACAAATTGTCTTGATATTGGGACCAAAATATACACATATACACAGCTACGTTTCCTTTACCGTAGTTCTTGTTCTTGTTGATGATGTTCTTGTTGTGTTGTGTTAAATCGTAGATTATAAGCGAAGCTGAAATACTGCTGCTGATGAAATGTATCATAAAGTTAAAAGTGGCTAAATTGGCTTGTTTAACTTTCCATTAATTCCCAGTTTTCTCCTTACATGCGTATCAGACAATTACAGCGTGAGGGTTTCGACGTACGGGTAGGGGGCAATCTTTTTAGAGACGTTCCTAAGTTGTTTTGTTTACAGATAAGTTTTTATGTCAGTTGCCAACCTCCTTCATCGTGAATATAAGTTTTGTGAAGAATTGCTCCAGTTAAAATGAGGCAAAGGTGAATCATTATCTCGCTTAATCTGCCGAAAAAAGCCTTTCACCCGAGGCATTTGTTCCATTCCGTCCCCACTCACCGCCACTAATATATCTGACAAATGTATTACAAGAGAGCGAATCACTCACTAAGTAAGTCATATTGATGTTATTAAACTAAAATACAGAGGCAGTTTTGACAGACATTTGTTTTTACAGCATGAAAATGATTAGGTACATATACTATCAGAATGAAAATGAAATGAGGGCTGTCAGGCAAATTGTGTAACAGACTCAGATTGCACTTGTACACTGTGAGATTGGGACCCATTCCGATGCATCATGTCTCTTGATTACATTAAAAAGAGAACGATCTTAGGTAAGTGACAGCTAATGTCCACATCAGGTAGAGAATCTGAGGAAGTAGAGGTAAAACAATTTGTAGATTATTAAACAGAAATAAGATGAGACAAAACATTTTGCATTTATTTGTATCAAAAAATAAATTAAGAATGAAAGAAACTCGTGAAAAAATTGCAACATCCGAAGACATTGATCTGGTAATGCTATCTATAAATGTTTCAACAGAAGATTTATAAGTGTATGATAATGATGTTGATCCATGGAGGTAATTATTGCATTGTTCGTTTACTTCTGTAAAGACGTATCTCTCTTACACTGATTTAGTTTGACATAGTCCTTAAAGCCCATGTATTCTTGTACTTTAGATCATGACTAAGATATTTGCCGTCTTCTTCTTCTGTTTGAGACTGAATTCAACCGTGGAGATCCTTGGCGGTTCATGTAAGTCGGTCACGCTTCATTTGTTTGATGGATAACCTCATATGTCACAGCCCAGGACGCAATTTTAAATGTGCATGCACCGTTACATTTGAGAAATTCAAATAGTAACGACTAAATGATGAACACTGTTTGAAATGAATTCGTGTAACAAACATAATTGCCTCAACAAACCAGATATTAACAATTTATTGAATAGCATATAACTTAATCCTGAGAAGTAAGGTAAGTTTCTGACGCGTTTTATCGTTGGCAATCCATGATTTCATCAATGCTATTGAGTTCAAAATACTGTATTATTATATACTCTTTAAATTAAAGTTAGTCTTTGACATAAAGAAACCAATGTAAGTGCTTTTACAAAGAAAACCATTTAATTCAAAATCGGGTTTTTATGACATTGCAAACTATCTTATCAGATCAAACCGGTTGAATTCTCACTTAGAAAGGGACACTCAGGTAGATGTTGAATTACTGTTATTAAAGAATGATGTATTGGCCATCAGTAACATGAATCAGTTTCAAGGAGATTTCGATTTATTGAGGTTTTGCTGCTGACAGGCTTCATTGTGAACACACAAACACACATGTGTAGTTTGAAGTTTTATTGGCTCTTATTGCCTGTAAAAGGCAAATGAAATGGGAACTAATATAAGTACTTTTCTCAAGGACACAACGCGGCAACCATCCCAGGCTGGCCTGAGCAGGTATCGAAACCGCCACCCTTGGATTATGAATCCAACGCACTTCCAATTGAAATACCAAAACTGCCCATTTATGTGACCTTTTAAGCAGTTACATTTTCGAAGAATGAGAAAACAACTAATCCTATACATTCAAAATAAAGCGATCGAAAATGACTATAGAGGATTAAATTGTGAATTCATTTGAATTTAAAGAACTGCCATGAAAAGAGTACTTTATGGAGTCAGGCATCGGCGGTGGCTGGCTGGAACTTACGACGTTGATGGGGTTAGGTCAATTGAACAGTGGTTAAATGGATGTTGGATCATTGTTTCTGAACTATGTGTAGAACAGGTACCTGTTGAAATTGTTTCAATCGTCTGCAAACTTTTCAATAGTGGGTAGATTGTCACTGGCGATGTGTAGATGGTTGCTTCACCGTCCAATAAGAACGAAGTTGTTATAATCAGGGATATATCTTGTGAATATGGTGGCAACGTAGCACCTGGAGTTGATGTAGCATAGCTAGGCTGCGTTAGGTCTGATGTTCGCAAGAGTTTCGGTGCGAGTGAGTTCCGTAGATCATAATTATGCGGAGTGATACATTTATTCATAAGTTTCGTCCACTTGTATTGAAATATCCTGTTATGAAAAGATTACTCATTTCTTGCTATGAGAAGAAATACTCATAATTTACGAAATGTCTTTGTCCATGGCTAGATAGATAGATAGATAGATAGATAGATAGATAGATAGATAGATAGATAGATAGATAGATAGATAGATAGATAGATAGATAGATAGATAGAAAGAGAGAGAAAGAGAGAGAAAGAAAGAAGAGAGATTTAAGACCCTCGTTAAAGAGGTGTCAGTCATCATGGTGTAGATACGGCTTTCATCCGTGGGAAAATGGCGATGTAAGAAAGGTAACGTGAACGACTGTAATGAAAGACAGTATTCTGATTCTTTGATCAACGAACAAACACACACACACTCACACATACACACACACACTCACACATACACACACACACACACACACACACATATATATATATATATATATATATATATATATATATATATATATATATATATATATATATATATATATATATATATATATATATATATATATATATATATATATAATATTACATTTTAGAAATAGATATTATAAATCCTGTATATTTAAATGCACGAAATGCATATAAAATAATACTTTTCTTTCGAGCTTACCAACTTCCTACATTTTCATAATTTCTGCATTTTAGAATATAATACAAAATTCGTGATAGACAAAGAGGATAAAATTCAATAGTTGCGACATAGTGCAACAATAGTTTTGAAGAAATGTATTTTACTAAATGTAAAATAGAATACTAATTTGGAATAGGTTACTAAAACATTATTCTTTATTACTTAAAGAAGTTTTTATTTCAATATTAAATCTAAACATGAAGTTGGTAGCTAATTCGTCTTTTCCAATAACTCATACCATAATTACAAATGAATACAAATTCTTTGAAACAAATCAAACATTCCATTATATTATAATATAAAATGGAAAGAACTTACAAATACATTGCTCAAATATCAAGTCTAGTGTTATGTATATGTAATTTAATTACTTGTATGTCAGTTTAAAATTTTTTATTTTTATTTTATTCTTTTACATCTTATTGCAATGAAAATTTTGTCTACTGTGTTTGATGTTTTTAGAACTTCAATGCAGTTCTGTTTGACCCGACAAGTAACCAGTAGTTGAAACATTGTACTCAATTGTTGGCCTTGATTCAAAATCAGTAAGGCTTTTAGTAAACAACGTTTGAAAATATTTTTGAATTCATTCTAATAGTAGGATTCTTTTAGAGGAATTCAAGGCCATACCAGGAGTAATTGACAAATAGCATTTGTTTATAGTTACAAAGTTATGGTTATCCCAGTGGGATGAAATTTTGACCCCCATCCGGGAATCTGTTTTGCGTTTTAGGCGGGCTTATAACTCATGTCATCATAATAATTTGCCAGTTGTATTTAAAAACTTTGAAGCTCAAAGGTGTTTTGTTGTGACAAGTTTGAGTTGAATGTTTCTATTATTTGGAATCAGTAATGTATTTACCCTAGAAAATACTAGTGCTCATCAGAATTTTTGGAAAAAGACATTTATCGAAATTTATTCGGATATACTAAACTAGAATATTATTTTTTTATTCAACAAGGAATGGTATACATCATTTCTTTCCATCTTAAAATTTCATCGAGATTCGAATTGTAATTCATTTAGGACTTTTCAATGACATTACTTCTATTTTCAAATTCTTATATTAATTTTGGATTTGATTCGTAAACCTAGTCCTTTTTCTCATTTTTGCCTTATATTTTTTTCCTTGGGAAATAAATTATTTTCTTAAATTTTACAAAGCTTGTTGCCTTCATTCTTTACTTGTTACTTTTGTTGTTGTTGTTGTTGTTGTTGTTGGGCTTAACGCCATTTTTCAGCACATGATAGGCTATTCATGGCGGCCAGTATTAATGGTGGAGGAAGAACCCGGGAAATCACCGGAAAGAACCACCGACCCACGAAAAGCTACTGGCAAGCTTTCTCACATATCCACATTCACCGAATCCTAGACTCGAACACACGTAGACAGAGGTGAGATGGCAGTGATCCGTAACGGACAGCGCTTTAGACCACTCGGCCACTCGGGGCCCCGTTACTTTTGTACGACTCTAGACACGTAATAGTGGATTCAACTTTACCGTGAAAGTGTCAACATTAAAAAGTTCATATGCTCCTGATTCTTCGATTAACGAATTGATTCTGCTGCGCAAGTTTACTCTCAATTTATACGCAGTTTTGAACGCATCATCATTACTAATTTGGGCATTTATCTAGATCGTTCATTTCGAATCAGAACAGGCTCTCGTCCTTTCCCACGGGAAATGCGTGAATTATCCGCTAGGAAATTAGGAAATTGCCAGTTCAGCAGTTTCTCACCAAATCTAATATTTGCTGACCTTTGGATAAAAGAGAAATGCATTTTATGGGTTATTTGTGCACTTGCTCATAAAAGCGCGATCATTGTTAAGATCGTATACAGTTGTGGTACAGAAATATTTAAAATTGATCTCAATATATTTTAGTGGAAATTACTTTCAATTTAATTTAATGGAAAATTACATTTAATACAATTTAGAGAAAATTTCAATTTTAATACTTTTACTCAAATATTATGTCCTAATACAATTGATAAAAGTAAATATTAACTGCACAGTTCGAATTAAGTATGTGTTTAAGTTGCACTATCACACCTTAAAACACATGTGTATATACTCAAAAGAAGAATGTGAAGCAAAAGGTTTTCCAAACAATATCCTAAGAGATATCACAGTAATAAAGTTCACAATTCAGATTTGATGCCTTTTCCATGCGTTTGTTATAACTGTGAAAACATTAACTGTGTGTCTATTTTATCTCATAGCTGTAAGATTTTTAGTGATAATATTTGCAAAGTATGTTAGATGTTTCCCACCACATTAAATTTTCATTTTAAATTTTAAATTTGAATCATTGTCAAATGTGAAAAAGTGAAACCAGACACATATTTAAAACATGAAATGAAAACGAATTAGGCCATACTTTTATCTACATCAACGTTTAGATAACATGTCGATGAAAATGATTGATGTTACAAAATCTTGTGCAGAAACTGAATTTGATATAATGCCCTATCAGATTATTTTATGCAAAAGCAGTAATGTTGAGATGGGTATGGAATGACACTATTAATACAGAATCGTAGGTACTACATAAAATGGTCTTTGCAATATGACAGTTTCTCTAAACTAAAATTAACAAGATTTTAAACGTAGATTGTGGAGTCATATTACTCGTTTTGATTTACATTGATAAAAAAACAGCCTATTCAAAATACGTTTGTAGATATACAAGGCCACAAGCACTGACTTACAAAAATAAAATATTAACACAAAACAAAAAGAAAATGTCTTCACCAAAACGAGGTCAATACTCATTGATACAGCAGCGTATCTCAATACTCAATTGGTGTTATTTGACAGTTTCGAATTTCGACAACTAATTTTTAAAATAGAAGGCATGAACATACTTATGAGAAGCCTAGTATTTTTGAATTCACACAGAAGCTAAATCTGTAATGTGGATTACATTTATTTTGAGTTAGGCTGGAAAATGGGTTGGATTGTTAGGTGACTGCCTGTTACAGTTAGACTTGCATTGGAAATCAAATTAATAAAGGAATTGTACTGCAAATGAACAGTCGACTTGGTTTACATGTCAACTACATAGGTAAATATAGGAGGAAAATTATGCTAATTGTTATAATACTAGTGAACTTTATTCATTCATTAGACACATACTGATTCTTTTAGCCACTTTGGCATAGGAAAATATTCAGACTAGCTCTTTGCTGTCATAAATGAATGTCAAAAAGAGGGGATAGTAGCAGTGTTGGTTCAGTATAAAAGACACCACTTGTATAAGGAATTACCCTGATTGTCTCAGTCGAAATCTCACCTGCATGCTTTCTACAATAGTCCTTAGTTTGTTTTCATTTGTATATTCAGTGTAATATTATTATCATTTATTCTGCTAAAGGTCATTGTCGGATACAAAATTACCAAAGTGTCCAGTGAGACCTTAAAACATTAATGTGCGTCATATGCTATTTAAAGCATCCGTGTGAGGCCTATATTTATTGATACATCAGTGTGATGCCTATATTCATTGATACATCAGTGTTAGACCTATATTTATTCATAGAGAGAGAGAGAGAGAGAGAGAGAGAGAGAGAGAGAGAGAGAGAGAGAGAGAGAGAGAGAGAGAGAGAGAGAGAGAGAGAGTAAATTTTCACCATGATAGTAGGCGAGGAGTCAAATGTTTTCGGAAATTACTCAGACTGGCCCAAAAAAGAAAGAGCTCATTGGGATTTCGAATCTTTTGCCTCAAGTGACCATACTAATAATAATAGTAAGTACGTATGAAAGAAGTAGTTCTGGGCCTGATCGGTGGCGTGGAGTTCGGAGTTTCCTGGTCACCCCACCACA